ACTTAATTTTGTATTGTGTTGGTGAGAGCCTAGGCGTTGCAAGTTCCTGTTGGGAAGGTTGAGCAAGGGGAGGAAGTAAAGAGCCATTGCTGCTTTCCTTATTCCAGGTGTGGGGAAAGAAAATCCTGTCGGGGGAGGGGAGGGTGTCTACTTTACATCTGCTCTCATCTTCCTAGGTGACTGCGGCCCACCTCCAGAAATACCTAATGCCACGCCAGAGGTGGATGGAAAAACCAGTTTTCCCGAAAAAAGCTTTGTGGTATATTCATGTAATAAAGACTATCGAAAAATTCCAGACAAGCAAGACACAGTGTCCTGTCAAAATGATCAATGGTCGAGTCTGGACACATTCTGTAATAGTAAGTTCTTCATTTCTTTTTAGAAATGTTATGGGACTGTGTATCTTGTTGAGGTTATTTTTACTCCTCTTTGGAGTGACTGGTAATTGATAGTTTTCTAGCATTATTAACCCCCAGAGTATACGTGTTGGCAGTTCACACTCCAGCTAATTGAAGGCGGTACTTCCTATAGCAGGTCCTGCTTCTTCATTAAGAGTTTTTCTTTCTCTTGCACGGGCTAATAGAGAAAAATAAATGATAGGTCCTGTTCAGGGAGTAAATTATATGTGAATATATTTGGCAAGTACCTTGAGACACACACCCAGGTGATCTGCCTTCTTCAACTTCATTTTGTTAAGTAAAGAATACAACTCTTGGGAGACATTTTAAGATCTTACTTTAAAAAGATCTGTTGTACATATAGCCCTATGTTAGCTTTAAGATATATAGTTTGTAGGTGATTCTGGCATATCTGAACACAGTACAGGGATTCAGAACTGGGTGGTGTCTGCCACCCGGGTTCCGTGATGTTGCCTGTTCTCTCACTAGAAACCTGTGTTGCGTGTTCCTCTGCATTGGCATTTGTAGCTCATTAGTCAGGGACAGAGGAGTGGCCCTCAGGGCATAAGGCATTACTGCCCACTACTTAGGCTTTACAGACACTGTACACCGAGGCCATGCTAATTTTCTTTATAAAGTAATGAACTAGCACTAGTTTTTTTGTTTGTTTGTTTTCACCATATCTTTTTGTTTGTTTGTTTGTTTGACTGTATTTTGCTCAGGCTGACCTGAACTCATGGACTCTCAAAATCCTCCTGCCTCAGCCTCTCAAGTGTCTGGAATTATAACCTACCTGGCTTCCCCCCACTTCATCTTTTTACACTCTAAACAGTCAAAATAAAAGTATAGTCTGATAAACACAGGAGTTTGAACCCCACACACTTACTACCAAACATCATCTACCCTGTGAGATTAGATGTGCTCTACCCTCATGAATTTCATGGACCCTGGTTGCTATCCCCAGCACCAGTGCAAGCATGTTAGTAAGAAATTTCATTAGGATGGCTGCAGTGTTGCTAGGTAACAGGAATAGTTCTGCTCCATTACATACCTGCAGGAACCACATTTATGTATGTGGCCCATCATGGGTCAGAATATCATTCTGTGACTGCAGAAAAGTAGAGATAAAAGACTGGATTGCTGCCTTTGAGTGACCTGAATTGGGAGAAGCTACAGTAAATTCAGAATCATTCAAAACGAATTCTTGAAACCATACTTGAAACAGGCTCTACAGTTGTATTTTCAGCCGCTGTTGAAGGCAAGAAAGCCACCAGCTTTTACCACGCTTTAGAGTTGGTAACTCTCCCTCAGTATTGCTTCACCTAATCCTTCAAGTCACCCCATGAATTATGGATGTGGGGACTCTTCTCAGTTTCAAAGTTAAGGAAATCTTCTGCCAGAAGCAAAATAATGTGCACAAGACCAGGATCTCTTATGCCAAAAAACCAGGCTTCAAGCTTGGGCCTCAGGACTACTGAGCCACCATTTCTTTCTCTACTCCTTGCCTTGCGAGAGCTCATTGCTCCACTGTTTACACTTGGTGCATGCTTGATGTACAGCTGGTCCATCTGGCCCTCGTTACCAAGGGCTGCTGTAACATTAAATGAGTAAGTGTGTGTAAAACACTTAGGAATATTCAATAAACACAAGATATTTTTATTCCTATTATTATTATTATTAACATTTAATGGGGAAACTTAGATACTTAGTAGCCAGGAAATGGAGGTATGCATATGAATACACTTGATATACTGCAAATACCACAGCGGTTTTTTTTAAAAATGAATATATAAAGAGGTAAGGATCCATACCAAAAAATAAGTAAATAGTTAAATGAAGCTAGGGTGGTTTAACTGCCAGATACTATGAGATGTCGATTATTTTATAATCTGTGTTGTTACTTTTTCTGTCATTTTGTTAATCCTTTTAGAAAGCTGCAGTGCTCCAACAAGAGTGACTTTTGCATCCCTCAAAACGGAATATATCGATTTGAATTATTTCCCGATTGGTAGCACTGTGCAATATAAGTGTCGGCCAGGATTTCGAAAAGTACCTTTACTGTCAGTTAAATCAACTTGCCTTGATAATTTAGAATGGTCCACAGTTGCTGAATTTTGTGAAAGTGAGTATAATTTGAAAAAGTAATCCCAGTCATCTGTATTTGTGGAAATATCTCTTCCATTTGTGCTGGAAATATATGTGTGTATACATATATGTACATATATATGTATACTTATATATACACAGGTACATATATTCACATATATACACATACATATCGTATGTGCTGGAAATATACACACACACATATATATTATATATATATATAAATGATTCTTCAAATAATCAATGAATTTTGTTTTTGTTTTTCAAGACAGAGTTTTTCTGTGTAGCCTTGGCTGTCCTGGAACTTTCTCTGGTGACCAGACTGGCCTTGAACTCAGAGATCTGCCTGTCGCTGCCTCCAGAGTGCTGATATTAAAGGTGTACTCCACCACTGCCCAGCTGAGTGTTTTTTTAATTAGACAAATGTTTACATACTAGGAATACTTACACACAGATTTCATGTTTACTTAAGGTTACCTAAAATGATGATATACTCTATGTTGCTTTTGAGGCAACAACAAAAAAAATGAATGTAAAATTTAAAAATGTAAGGGTTAGAAATATCAGTGGCTTAGAGAATGATTTTGGGTATGTGTCTCATATTTATTTTTTTCCCGCTGTCCTAAGTTATAATTAGAAAGTAAAAATCATGTAAATTCAAGGTGCAGATTATTTCATAAAAATATCTTTATTGTTTGTGTGTATATGTTTTTCATGCATGCATGTATGTGCTAATAAGTAGGTATGACTGTCCATGTTTATGGTATATGTGTTTGTGGTCAGAGGACATCCCTAGGTGTCAGTCCTTAGGTGCTTTGGCCTGGGACTTCACCGCATAGACCGTGATGTCCTCTCCCTCCGTCCCTGCTGGCTTTGAGGTTCTGTTTCCTATCATCACTGAGAATATAGGTGTGTGTCGTTGTGTCCCAAACAATAAGCAAGCACGTCGTTTACTGAGACATTTCCCCAGGCCCTTAATGTTCTTTTGTGTTTGCTTCTATGTGTATACATATTTCTCTCTCTCTCTCTCTCTCTCTCTCTCTCTCTCTCTC